AAAGACTAAAGGTCTATTGTGTGGATCAGGTCCATTTCCTGATACTGGGAAAGACTGAAGGCAGGAGGAGAAGGGGACGACAGAGGATGAGATGGTTGGATGGCATCACCAACTCGATGGACATGAGTTTGAGAAACTCCGGGAGTCGGTGATGGACAGGGAAGCCTGGTGTGCTGCAGTCCATTGGATCACAGAGTCAGACAGAACTGAGTGACTGAACTGAACTGACTGAGATGTCCATTGCCAGAAAAATGAGAATTAGGGAGAGATTAAGGAGTTAATACATCAGAGTCTTCAATATATTTCATAGGAAAGATCAAGGGCAAGGGGATTCCTGTGGATGTTGGGAAAGAAAGCCCGAGACTGGGATCTGGGAGTGGGGGTTGCACCTAGGATTATTGATAATGGGGTGAGCCCCTCACTGAAGTCTGCCACTCATTAGAGGCCAAAAGATGCTCAGTGGCAAAATCCAATCAGAAAGAACATGGTAAGGCATCATTTTGAAAGCTGAAGGAGAACAAGCTTTGTTTGGGCCTCTCGTCACCTTCCTGTGCTGCGGTGAAATAGACAAATAAACCAGAAAAGAAGTGGAGGAAAATCACTAGCCCTCTCTGCATCCCAGAAGATTGTTAGGAGTTTGGAGCAGAGCCAAGTGCTACCTTCTGTTCTTACAGAGGAAATTATAAAATTGCATAGATATAGTGGCTAACTTTGGGGTATTGGATTACCAGTAGGTCAACTAGTCAGCAGGGCTGATCAAACCCAGCCTCTCCCATAGGGTTCTCTTTTGTCATCCTTTTAAAGTATGCACACACATGCACACACACACACATATACACATTTACACAGAGATATACAAACAGATACAAATACACACACACACACATAAACACATACACACAGACACACATGCACACACACACACATACACATACACACACACACACACGGAAGGCAAGGAAGATAATTCAGAAATGATTCACACTGCACACCCCACCTAAACACATGATGAACCTCCCTTATTACAGAGCAGTTGAAACACCTTAATTCCCAGGCCTCTCCCCACCATCAATATCCAAGTCTTGAAGTCAAGAGGGCCTCAAACACACTTACAACAATTCCTGAGGGTGGATTCTTTGGGGCAGCAGTTAGGACTCGTCCGTGATGAGCAAACCATACCATGAGTATTCAGGGGTGAGCTACTGTCTCATGAAAGGCGTACTTCTAAATATTTCATCCACGGGGTTCCAATAACAAACACAAATGAAAAAGATCTTAGTCAAAGCCTCAGACATGGACAACTATTCAAGAGAAAGCTTTTGGGGGGCTTAGGCAGAAAGTTTTCTCTCCTAAGCCCAAGTTTTGCACGCACATGAAGATTTTGCAAGAATTTTAAAGATCAGAAAGTAATGTCAAGTTTACACAGCTTGCCCAGAGTAGAATCCTGGCCTCAGAATCAAAGACTAAAAACAGTTTCCGCCTTCAGCAAGTCTCACTCTACCTGAAGTGGGATCAGTCTTCAATAAAGTAAGTAAGTTATGGGTTAGAGGGAGTTATAGGTAGAAGAGACAGATGTTGAGAGTGGGAGAGGGTCTCTGCAATCCAAGACAGCAATTCTGGGACACACATAAGGAATGGGGCCTCCCAGTTTTTGATACTTTTCCTAAGTCCAACCTCTCTTGACAAAATGATCCCTTGGGCAAACATTTCTATAAAGCTTCCTCCGGAGGCTCCCTGTTGGTAGTTATCATACACACGTCCTACCGCTGTTACCATGCAGTCTTAAAAACAGAACACAGGGTCTTTAGATTTAGACTCTAAACCCACAAGTACAGGGTGATGAGTACCAGCCATCTATAACAATCCTATTGCATACTGAAAATGTGGCTGGCTTTTAAATTATATTTTACTCTAATTATAACTCAGTTGGTAAAGAATCTGCCCTCAATGCAGGAGATCCCGGTTCTATTACTGAGTCAGGAAGATCCGCTGGAGAAGGGGTAGGCTACCCACTCCAGCATTCTTGGGCTTCCCTTGTGGCTCAGCTGGTAAAGAATCCACCTGTGATGCAAGAGACCTGGGTTTGATCCCTGGGTTGGGAAGATCCCCTGGAGAAGGGACAGGATACCCACTCCAGTATTCTGGCCCAGAGAATTCTGTGGACAGAGGAGCCTGGCGAACTACGGTCCATGGGGTCACAAAGAGTCAGACACAACTGAGCAATTAAGACTCCGTGAATCTACCTCTTCCATTTTATGAAACTTAAACGCAGAGCAAGTCTTTCACGTGGAAATTTAGTATCTGCCTTGAGATGTAAGGATCAAATTCATATGAGATTTCAAAGACTTGGTATAAAAAATATACAGGTAATGGCTATAGTAAATATGGATGAGAGATCTTCTTAATAGTCTCTAACCCTGGCCCTAAAATAGGAATGTAATTGAAGGTTATCCCAGTCTTAACTGGAAGACAGCTTCCCAACGATTCTAAGTAACATTTAAGAGTAAATCTGCGGGACTTCCCAGGTGGTCCGGTGGTTAAGACTCTGCACTTCTAGTACTTCCAGCGCAGGGGGTGCAGGCTTGATCCTTGGTTAGGGAACCAAGCTCCCACATGCCATGTGGTGCTGCTGATTTAAAAACATAAATAAATAAAACTGCTCGTTAAGGTGACGTCCCAATCACCAAGCCTGACTTCCACTTTTTCAGAAATAATGATAGCAGCTGAAATATATAAAATCCAAGGACTACGTAGAGTTCGAATGCCCGTCAGAAAAGGCCAAACCTCTATCTGAGCCAGATTATGCCCATTTCATTAGCAGCAGAAATCATAAGTGGAGAAATAGAGTTTTATTACATGATCCTGGGCTCATGGGATGAAATGAAGGTGGCCGGCCATGGCTGGATTCTTGCCAAGTTTTTCCCTCTATGGTCAGATAAGAAAGGGGCCCCAAACCTTAGAGGTGAAATAATTTATTTGCTAAAACCCCAGATAACTGGCAAGCAGATCATATTATGACCCAAAAGAGTAGTTAACAGATTAAGGTCTTTGTTTGTAGAACCTCACCGAGTCACGTGATAGGAGAAGAATTTAGCCAGCGGAGCCGTGTGCCACTGGGTCTGCTTCATGCCTGGTGTTATGGGTCCGCGGACACCGTTTCATTAATCACACCGATGACAAGTCTGCAGGCATCCGTGCTGAGCCAGGGGCTGGAACCAGGGAGAACCTGCCTGCTGCCTGGGCTGGGGAGCAGCTGAGGGGGCCCTGGGCAAGCCCAGGCTGGAGGGAGCCCAGTCCAGCCACTACCAAGAGGGGCCTGCTGAGGGTTGTCGGCTCAGGTCAGCCGGCACGCCCCTGGGTTCTCGTCCATCTCAGTTCCACCCCTGGAAGATGTCAGATCTTCGAACCCTCACACCTCTGCCAGAGTCAACAGCTTAGGGGAGGGGTGGACCCAGGTCCACAGGTGAGGGTAGGGTAGACGGGACTCCCTTATCATGGGATCCGGGAAAATGCAACCGCAAGGAGAAGGCTCAAAACCACCCCGTGTCCCAGAGGGGACCCTCTGCCTCATCACTGATGAGAAGCGGGTGTCTGGACAGTTACGAGGCCCTGCCCCTTAGCTGGGGGTTTTGACATTATTTTTAAAGTACCAAATACCGCCGAAGAATTGATGCTTTTGAACTGTGGTGCTGGAGAAGACTCTTGAGAGTCCCTTGGACTGCAAGGAGATCTAACCAGTCCATCCTAAAGGAGATAAGTCCTGAGTGTTCATTGGAAGGACTGATGTTGAAGCTGAAGCTCCAATCCTTTGGCCACCTGATGCGAAGAGCTGACTCCTTGGAAAAGACCCTGATGCTGGGAAAGATTGAAGGTGGGAGAAGGGGATGACAGAGGATGAGGTGGTTGGATGGCATCACTGACTCGATGGACATGAGTTTGGGTAAACTCCGGGAGTTGGTGATGGACAGGGAGGCCTGGCGTGCTGCAGTCCATGGGGTCACAGAGTCGGACACGACTGAGCAACTGAACTGAACTGAAGCACAGAACTGTGCTGTGAGCCTGAGGCCTCCACTTGACATTCCCTCAGCCCCCGGTTTAGGGGAAGTCTCTGTTTTCATTTCAGAACATCATTCCAGGTCACTGGGTATTTTTCAATATTGTCTACTTAACAGGTGCCCACCACTCATTTTCTGATATGTACAAATTCATCTCTTCATTGTTGGGAGTTGAAGAAGACGTTATAGTAAATTAAAGGTATATATTCCCATCAAGATACATATATCTTGAGTGCACTCCTAGAAGAAATCTTTTTTACAAAAGTTGCCATGTTTCTTCCACTTATCATTTCAGTTCAGTTCAGTCGCTCAGTCGTGTCCAACTCTTTGCAACCCCATGGACTGCAGCACGCCAGGCACCCCTGTCCATCACCAACTCCTGGAGCTTACTCAAATTCATGTCCATTGAGTCAGTGATGCCATCCAACCATCTCATCCTCTGTCATCCCCTTCTCTTCCTGCCTTCAATCTTTCCCAGCATCAGGGTCTTTTCCAATGAGTCAGTTCTTCACATCAGGTGACCAAAATATTGGAGTTTCATCTCAGGTGACCTTCAAGACAGTTGTATAATAAACCACGTACTTCTTTACCCCTGACTTCTCGTCTAAATCCTCGCATCAGTGGCCACAGTCAATGGCCAGGTGAGGCAGGTGTGTCCTGGGGAGAGGAAGGGCTGAGTCTTCTGAATAACCACACACCCTGTCTGTGATCGTGGTGCCCAGATCAGGCCTGGGAACAAAGCTCAGCGAAGGCAGGCTGGACCTTACAAACGCCCACCAAGGGCGTTCCCCTTGTCCACAAAAAGCAGGCAGAATGCAGTGAGGATCTCTGAGACAACACTTGAAATTAATATTTTATTTATGCACACATACAACACACCACGAGACTAACAAGAGGAAAAAATGTTGCAATGATTTGCTTTTCATGGGACTTTCCAGAAGGATGCTAAACACCTTTGTTTGCAAAGGTCTGGGTTCCCTCTTCGGAGCAGTTTGTCCCTGCAGAGTCCGGTCGCTCCCTGGGGATGCCACATCCGCAAGCCACATGCTGGGCCCTGCATAGCACCCAGCTCTGGAGGCTGAAAGAGACTGCTTGTGCCATGGGATCCTGAGCACAAACGAGGCGTGCGATCACGCAAGGGGAGGGTGAGTTGCCAAGGAGGACACGGTGATACGGAAAAGCTAAAATATGCAAGTGTGCAGAAACGGAACAGTTTTTGCATAAAACCAAATTTACCCCTATCCCCAGAATTTCTACTTCAGGACAAAATCCTAAATCTACATCCCAAAGGCTAGCCTGTCTGACTCTGACAGTCCTCTGGGTTGGGGGGTGGGTGGTGAGGAAATGTTTATCCATCCAGGAAACCACACATGGTGGGGTGTTTTGTGGCTTCATTAGTGTATTCAGGTCACTCTGAAGGTGGAGCATCTCTTTCCCAGCCAAGTTCAGGAGTGGCTCGCCCAATTCTGAACTAGATCTTGGGACAACACAGTGTTAGGCTGTCCAAATCAAGCTGGAAATAGAGAGAAAGGAGGAGAAGGAAAGAACGCCCAGGAAAGCTCGACTTTCTTTTGTTCCTATTGCTGTGTTTGTAAATAGAGAATTAATTTAAAAAACAGATTGCATTTGGGGACGAAGAGGGGACTGGACCAGAATCCTTTGGTGGCGAGCGCCCCCCTGTGGTCTGTCTCATGAATTTTCCCAAGAGCACAGCCGCGACGCCCAGGCTTGGGGACAGGGGCTGCGCCTGGACAAACACACCCAACCTCCCCACCTGCGGGCTCAGGCCCACCCCAGACCCGCCCCACAGGCTCACCCCGCTTTCTGAGATTAAGGCCGATGGCAGTGTTACGACCCTGGACCAGGGCGCAGGAGTCCCATCACCTTTTCTGTGTCCCCGCAGCACCTCGCTTCCTCAGGTTGCCCCACGCCTGAGACCATCACCCTGCATGGCACCCACCACCCCTGCACCCCCTCAGGCCTGTTATGACTCAAAACCACCACCCACCAGAGAATTCCCATCCTTCCCTCCACATTCAGACCACCCTGTAGGCGGGGGGCACCAAGGTGACTACAGATGTGGGCCAGGGAGGCTGGCCTGGCTCCGTATCTGACATTTGGCTCCTCACTTGGGATTCTTCTCCTGCCCCAACAACTCTGTGGTGGAGTGATTATTTCCCCCATTTTACAGATGAGGAGACTGAGGCTTGGGAGGTTAAAAATGCAGTCCTCGTGAATTTCCCCAGACATCATCACCCTGTTGAGGGAGTCCATGCCGATTCTACCAGCTTGTGACTCCTCCCCAATGGAGGCAGCCCCAGCAACTTGGCAAGGACCCCTCCGTCACCGGTGAGCAGGCATCTCTGGTCTCTGGGAAACTCACACAGGCTCTCCTCGTTCGCACCTCTGCTCAAAGGGCCGTGGGGGTCAGCACCTCCTTCTCCATGACTGCAGGCAGTCTCTGGGAGAGAGATCCGGACGTACCCGGGAGGACCCTGGGTGCAGGCCTCCGTGTGCCCACAGCCAGGTCGCGCTCCTCATAGAATGGGGCGAAGCCTCCCGTCCTCCCAGGCGCTGGGCGTGGTGGCCAGCCACCCAGCTGACAGCTGCTCCATCCGAAGCCCTCTGGCCACAGAGGCATTCCCATCCCTAGAGAGCAGAGCGGAACACGTGGCTTAATTTCCCTGCTTCCTCTGGGTTATTTTCATGGAAACGACGCGAAGCTCCCATAGAAAGTCCAAGCACAGAACCTGAGCCGGACCGGCTGTCACCTCCTGCGCTGTGTGTCCGCGTCTGTGAATCACCTCTTCCTCGTTTATCTTCCCTGTCCTCCCACCTCCACGTGAAGGCAGCCACTTGTGATCCTTCCCACTTAGAGCAACACAGTCACAGGCTTGAGTGCCAGGCACTGGACCACAAAGGGGAGAGAGGTGTGATAAATAACATTTAAAGCACTGCAGAGTTTGATTTTCATGTCTCATATCTGCCTCTGGAGATTCTGCTAAGTGTCTTTTATTCCTCTCTTCATAAACCCTTAGGATAACAGCTTTATTTTGGGAATTAATCCAGATTCCCATTACTCATTGATTTATACTTTCTGGGAGTGTAACTCCTCGTTGTTAAGTTACAAAGGTTTGAAAGCTACGTTAACTCTTTCTGACTACGGCAGTAATACGGTTGCAGTCATTGAGTCGCTAAGCCGCATCCGACTCTCAGGGACCCCATGGACTGTAGCCTACCAGGCTCCTCTGTCCACGGGATTTCCCAGGCAAGAATACTGGAGTGGGTCGCCATTCCCTTCTCCAGGGGATCTTCCCGACCCAGGGACTGAACCCACATCTCCTGCATTGCCAGGTGGATTTTTTTTTAACCACTGAGCCACCAGGGAAGCCCATAGTAATCGGGAGGTATTGCTAAATCTCAGGCATTTTAGAATAGTATCTTAAAAGCATTAATGTAGTTTTAAAGGGTTTCCAAATTACAAGCGGGTTGAAAAAAAACTGGCTTCTGAGAGAACCCAATTTATACAATCATAGATGGTCCACATATGAGGAAGAGGCTTCCCTCCCGAATCCCCTCTACAAGCAAGTAAGCTCTGCAATGGGACTTCCAGGGGCCAAATCTTGGCTCCGTCTCTCACTGGCTGTGTGACCTCAGTCATGCTGCCTAAACTTTCTGAGTCTTGGCATCCTCATTTGTCAAATGAGGAAAATAAGACCCGCTTCATGATGCATGGTAAGGAGAAAATGATAATCGTGTAAGTTACGCGCTGAGAATGCTGCCTGGCAAATAGCAGCACTAGCTGATGTCTGCTGAGAAGCAAGCAGGTAATTCTAAGCCCTTTACACGGGTTGACTCACTGAGCCCCTCAGCAACCCCGAGCCTGGGCTCAGGGAACACTGGTCATTTTCTGGCGGTTCTGATCCCTGACGTTCACTCTCTCCGACCCGTGGCTCCTTCCAGATTTCAGCCAGGAACCCATGCACAGCCAGCCTTTGAGCCCTAATGGGCTCTGGGCGGAGTCCATCACGTGACCTGGGTCTAAGCCAATCAGAGCCTCACAGCATCTCGGGGGTGACTGGCCTATCCGGCCCAAGACGCAGTGGTATGGCTCCTGATGCCCTTGAACCTGAGGCTGGGGCTACCGCCATCCTGAGGGCAGGGCCTGCCCACGAGGGCACCAGCTCAGAGGTAACTGAGTCACCACGGGAGCGGGGAAACCAGGTTCCATTGGCTGCATAGCGCCCACTCAGAAAACCTGCCTGAAACGCCCAGACTCTGGGCTTCTCCAAGCCTCCTGCCCACCAACTCCTTTCAGGTTGAATCAGTTCAGTTGGGATTTCCCGCGCAAGTCCGACCTGACCCAGAAAAGCACAGATATGATTATAAACTGTGGGAGAAAGTAAATCCCTTTCCCTCTATCTTGACTCTTATCTTGGGAGCTTCTAGTCCAAGCTTTGAAGTCCCTCTCCTCCCCTCCCCCCAGGATGGGGGCGGGGTGCAAGTGGAATTGACATGTTCAGAGCAAGGCATTGCCTCCCAGAGCCTCTTTTTCTATAGAAAGTAGATCGGAGGTAACCGGGGTATAGGGGGAAGGTGGTGGGGAGTTATAGCTGAACGGACACAGAGTTTGCATCTCTATAGAGGTGATGAAAAGATTGTGGAAATAGTGATTACCATCACACAACATGATGCGTGTACTTCTTGTTTAGCTGCTAAGTGGCATCCTATTCTTGCTACCACTGGATTTCCCATGGACAAAAATACTGGAGTGAGTTGCCACTTCCTTCTCCAGTGGATCTTTGCCCACCCTGGGAACGAACCTGTGTCTCCTGCATTGCAAGGGCATTCTTTACTGCTGAGCCAGCAAGGAAGCCCAATGTATTTAATGCCTGAGTTACACACTTTAACAAACTGTGTATTATTTATGTGAAATTTTCTTTGATCATAATAAAGAAATATAGTAAAGCACCAGCTCTACTGGGACACGCTGTGTGACTGAAGTCTTATAAACCGTCGGGGCCTCTGTATCCTGATCTTCAAACACAGGAAACAGGACGCAGCGGGTTCCGAGTCTGATGATGGACGAGGCCCAGGGTCCAGCCAGTGGCTACAGCCTGACCAACGTGGAGCATCGGGGCAGCCTCGATGCCCTGTACAATCCAGGCCTCCTGCCTTTGGGGTCTCACTCCCAGCCCTTGCTGGCCAGACCTCCCAGCCTCTGTACTGCACATTTTTCAGCCAGCCGTTCTTCACCCACTCCAGTGTTCTTGCCTGGAAATCTCTGGGGGCTACAGTCCATGGGGTCACAAGGGTCGGACACAACTTAACAACTAAACAACATTTTTTCATCCTCACCTCCCAGGCCTTGCCAAACTAACTAAAGGCACGGTCTTCCACCATCAAGTCAGTCAAGATTCAGACTCCAGCTGCACGTTTAGGAGTCCCCGGGGCCACCTCCCAACTCAGACCAGCTGGCTACAAATGTGGGGGTCCCTATGGACACCCACAAGATTGATAATTCGCTAAAATGACACAGAACTCAGGAAAACACTGCACTTACAGGGACGGTTTTATTATAGCAAAAGAAAATAACTCAGAACCAGCCCAAGGAAGAGACCCATAGGACCGAGCTAGGCGTGGGAGCGTTCCAAACATGAATCTTCCGTAATCCTCAGGGACACAGTACCCTCCTGTCGCTGATGTGTAACAATCCACAATGTGTTCCCAGCCCAGGCAGCTCCCCCAAGCCTCCATATCCCGAGTTTATCTTTGGAGCTTCATTACAGAGGCGTGACTGATGGAATCACCACCTGCGTGATGGAACCCCACATCCAGCCCCTCCCTGTCCCCCTCCCAAATTTGGGCTGACAGCTTGTGGATCAAAGCTCCAACTCTCTAATCACATCGCTGGTCTTTTGGCCAGCCTGCATCCTGAGTCATCTCATAAACATAAAATATCTGGAGTCCCCATGAGTCACTCATTGGCATAAACTAGCAGGTGTGGTCTAAGAGGCCCACCATGAATAACAAAGACCCTCCCATCACTCGGGAAATTCCAAAGGTTTAGAGATTACCTCCTGGGAAACAAAGATAAAGGCCAAGCAGATTCTTTATTACACAACCAGCTACTGACATCCCTTTGGGTGTTTGCCGGCTCTAGGGCAGCAACACTTCACATTTAAATCCTGTAACTAGATACTTGGTCAACCAAACAACAACAGTGTAGCCCCATTATCATTTGCATAACATGTCTTTGGCCCACCCACTTTCTGTGAATAACTTTTTTTCTCCAGTCTCATTTAAGAGCAGCATCATATGTCGTTGAAGGCTATCTGTTTTGCCAGAGCTAAGTTATCCATCACCCTGAACTTCAGAGAATTCACCCTGCTTCGTCCCCCCAGTTAGGGAGTACATGAAAAGTTCCTGTAAGCTGGCATGTGCCTGGGGAACACAAGATGTGCTATTGTATATCAGGAGCTGTTTCCTGCTGAATTGTTCTGAGGATTTCAACACTCACCAGCTAATTCAGATCCAGTAGCTCTAAAAGGAAACTCGTCTGTTTGTAAAAAAATAAAAATACATTTCGCTCTTCCTTTGGGCAAACAGGGCAATGGTTTGCTGGCTGCCCCAGTGACGTCAATGAGGGCTGAACCCTTCAAGGAAGTCAAACCACATGGAAAGCTGCCGGAGACTTCTGGGAAGGAGAAGGAAATGTCAGCATCTGAGCTGCACAGGTTGGAGGGCTGAGGGGGGTGGGGCCCATCAGAGCTTCCAGGACAGGACCACGACAGATGGGGTGGTGGCAGCAGAAGATCCAGGCCCCTGATAAAGCAGGTTGGAGGAACCATCTCGTTAGCAGTGACCAGCCCCGAAAAGGAATGCATTCTAGCCAAAGCGCTCAAAGGCTGAAGTGTCCTCTAAAATACTGCCTACCTTTAAAGCCCCATAATGCAAGGACTTCCCTGGTGGTCCAGTAGCTAAGAATCCGCCTACCAACACAGGGGACGTGGGTTCGGTTCCTGGTCCGGGAAGATCCCACATGTCTCGGAGCAACCGAGCCCAAGCTCCCCAGCTTCTGAGCCTGGAGGTCTCAGGTCTGGAGCCCACGCTCTACAACAAGAGAAGTCACTGCAGGAAGAAGCCAGTCTCTAAGACCAGAGAGCAGCCCTACTCATCTCAACCAGAGACAGCTGGCACAGCAGTGAGGACCCAGCACGGCCAAAATTAATAAATAAATTATGTTTAAAAGCACATTAAAACCAACAATGCAAACATCAATTCTTTCAGAGGCCAGACCCCTCCCACCAGGCCTTTCGCTACCTGTGGATGCCTTTCTGAGAGGAAGGTCACTCCGGGTCACTCCGGCTAAGAGAGTGGGAATGCAGGACTTGGATGTTTTTAAAATCCCCTCACCCTGGACAAAAAGGGTGAGAGCCTGCTTGCCTTCCCTGGAAATGAGACTTGGCAAAGAAACCACGATTTCAGTGTCTTTGGCCGTGCGTGTCTTTGCTGGTGCACCATAAGTATTCTGTGTCTGCCTCCAATCTTTTGCATGATATGTAAGAGAAAAGAGGTGGAAGTTGCCAGTCCTCTTGCAGATTGGTCCTCTTAGAGAATGGGCATATTTAGCTTCCGAATTGTACTGGGCAAAGGCACATTCAGGGTCAGCCCAGATTCTGGGTGCCCTTAGCTGCAGGCTCATCCTGGGAACAATGGGTGGATGAGACCATCTTTTGAGTCAATGACTGCAGCTCACAAAGATATCCTTCGTACCTTTTGATAGCTGTATTCCTCTAAAAAGTGTCTGTTGAGAGTATGCCATGGTTTAGCCAACCAATGTTCTGCATTTCTGCATTCAGAGGGTTTTCAGTTACAAACAAGGCCTTAACAAATAAGATGATGCATATATTATTTGCTGCATCATTGGAGGTGTGTCTTCGGGTTAAATTCCTAGAAGAGGCATTATTTGGCCAAAGGGTACCTGTGTTCATTGCCTCGGGCTACCTCATATGTACTAGTATTAATCTTGCCTCGTACTACAAGATGTCTGGTTTTAGGGAATTTTCTGGTGGTTCAGCGGTTAGGACTCTGTACTTTCACTACCAAGGGCAGAGGTTCCATCCCTGGTAGGGGAACTAAAATCCCAAAAAGCCACCCAACAGAGCCAAAAAAAGAAAAGAGATGTGATTTTAAACCACGATTATCTATTCTTTTACAGTTCTGGAGGCTAGAGTTCCAAAATCAAGCTGCTGGAAAGGCCATGCTCTCTAGAAAGACTCTAGGGAAAATCCTTCATTGCCTCTTCTAGTCTCCAGCTTGCTGGCAGCCCCTGGCCATGCCTGGTTCACAGACCCGTCACTCCAGTCTCTGCCTCCTCGTCACAGAGTCTTTTTCCTGTGTCTGTGTCTCTTCTCTTCTAAGAACACTACTGGGTGTTCTTAGGAGAACCCATATTGGGTTTAAGGCCCACCCTACTCCAGGATCTTAGCTTAGCTTGATTGCTTCTGCAAAGACCCTATTTTCCGAATGGACAGAAATATCGGGAGAAGCTCTTCACCCAGTGCTGTGAGTGTGTGCTGTGAGTGTGTGCTGTGTGTATACTGTAAGGGTGTGCTGTGAGTGCTGTGAGTGTGTGTACCGTGAGTGTGTGCTGTGTATACTGTGAGTGTGTGCTATGTGCTGTGAGTGCTGTGAGTGTGTGTATCATGAGTATGTGCTGTGAGTGTGTGTATTATGAGTGAGTGCTGTGAGTGTGTATACCGTGAGTGTGTGCTGTGTGAGCTGTGAGTGTGTGCTTTTGTACTGTGTGTGTACCGTGAGTGTGTGCTGTGTGGGCTGTGAGTGCTGTGAGTGTGTGTACTGTGAGTGTGTGCTTTGAGTGCATGCTGTGTGTGCTGTGTGTGCTGTGTGTGCTGTGAGTGTGTGTACTGTGAGTGTGTGTACCATGAGTGTGTGCTGTGTAGGCTGTGAGTGCTGTGAGTGTGTATACTGTGAGTGTGTGCTTTGAGTGCATGCTGTGTGTGCTGTGTGTGCTGTGTGTGCTGTGAGTGTGTGTACTGTGAGTGTGTGTACCATGAGTGTGTGCTGTGTAGGCTGTGAGTGCTGTGAGTGTGTGTACTGTGAGTGTGTGCTTTGAGTGCATGCTGTGTGTGCTGTGTGTGCTGTGTGTGCTGTGAGTGTGTGTACTGTGAGTGTGTGTACCGTGAGTGTGTGCTGTGTGGGCTATGAGTGCTGTGAGTGTGTGTACTGTGAGTGTGTGCTTTGAGTGCATGCTGTGTGTGCTGTGTGTGCTGTGAGTGTGTGCTGTGTGTATTCTGTGAGTGCATGCTGAGTGTGTACCGAGAGTGTGTGCTATGAGTGTGTGTATCATGAGTGTGTGCTGTGTATATTGTGTGTGTGCTGTGAATGTGTGTATCATGAGTGAGTGCTGTGTGTGTATCATCAGTGTGTGCTTTGAGTGCATGCTGTGTGTGTTGTGTGTGCTATGTGTGCTGTGAGTGTGTGCTGTGTATATTGTGTGTGTGCTGTGAGTGTGTGTATCATGAGTGTGTGCTGTGAGTGCTGTGTGTATTGTGTGTGTGTACCGAGATTGTGTGCTGTGAGTGTGTGTGTGTGGTTTGGCTTTACTGTGTTGAATTCCCCTCCTAGAAGCTGCCCCGTGCTGGATCCTTGCCGCCTCCACGGCCAGCAGTAGGACGTGTGGTCAAGCTTTTGCGACTTTGCCAGCCTCACGTGTGGAAAACAGTACTCAGTGTTCTAGTTTTCACTGTGCATAAAGTTGAGCATTTTTCTTGTGTGTTGGTCGCACATATTTTTGGATAGCGCACATCTTGCCCATTTTTTCTAAGGCACTCTGGGGTTTTTTCCCCTCGATTTTTCCAGTCAAACTTGTCCAGGATTTTTCTTCAGTTCTTTTCTGGTTTTTGTGTGTGTGTGCAGTGAAGTTTTCATGACCAGTTAGAAGGAATCCCGGCTCACACTAGCTTCTCTAATCCACAGATCTCTCTCTGTTTCTGTTATTCACGTAAAATGTTTTTGTTTTTGTTTTAAAATGGAAGCTTGGTTTCGGAAGTTTCCTGACTATGTTTCTCTTCTTCAGTTACATGCAGACCCGCTCTTTCAGGTTTCTCAATTGCCCCTTTTCTGTAAAATGTTTATTCGACTCCCAGATGTTTCTCCTGGGCACAGGGTGTTCTGGAAGGAAGCGCTGGTAGGTCCGTTTTGAGAGTCAGCAGGCACCAGGGGCCCAGCCGCCTTCAGCAGGGACCACTACAGTCATCAGCTGCTGTGGCCGGCAGTGCCCGCCCCCCACCACACGCTCAAATCATGCTTCTCTGCTCTACTGTGAAAACCCACGGCCATCCTGGGATTTTCCTCTTACTGTGTCCATCAGATGCTCCTTTAATTGCTCTGCTTTTTCTTGCGCAGACGCAAAAACACACACGTCTTCATGCTGGTAACAGCTTGTTCCCATTTGTTTGTATTTTGAGTTCTGAAGTATATCTTGTGACCCAGTTTTATTAGGGTTTCCCTCATAGCTCAGTCGGTTAAGAATCTGCCTGCAATGCAGGAGACCTGGCTTTATTTCCTGGGTTGGGAAGATCCTGTGGAGAAGGAAATGGCCATCCTCTCCAGTATTCTTGCCTGGAAAATCCCATGGACAGAGGAGCCTGGTGGGCTACAGTCCGTGGGGTCACAAGAGTCAGACATGACTTAGCGACTAAACCACCACCACCAGTTTTATTATAAGTGTTATCTGCAGCTGTCTGCTTCTCTATCTCATCGCTCTGGCTGTTCTTATGGAAGAATTCAGAGAGAATGAAACACTAGATTCCTGTCAACACGGCCATCTTCACCTGTCTCTGCTCCATCTTTAAGGATTCTTTATATGTTCCTGAAATTGGCTCTGTGTTTCTGATCTTTGTTACAACTATTTTCTAGCAGGTTTTGTGTATGTTTAACAATGCATAAGGTGCATTTTGGTATGCAGAGGTTCTTTTGTAATGTCTATGTGTTCAATTTTACTCACCTTTTCTTTCATGACATCTGGATTTTGATTCATAATGAAAAAACTTTTCCCCATAGAGGAATTCACTCACGTTGCCTTCTGGAATTTAGAATGTGTATGATTTTATTTTTCACATTTATATTTCCAATTCGTTTGGAGTTTATTGTCAAGTATGAGATAAAGAACGATTATTTGATTTTTTCCAGCATCATTTATTAAAAGGCCAGTCACTTTTTGACATCTCTTTCTTTACCATAGATTTAATTTTCCTATGTATTTGGGTTATTTTTGGACTTCTGTTGATCCATCTATCTATTCATACACCAACACCCTGAGTTTTCCTTTCAAAAAATACTTTTTTATACCACTTATTATGAAATGTTGAAGACATATCAAAATGTTTAAAGAGTGATACAGTGATGACCCAGCTACCTGTTTCCCAGCTGAAGAAAGGAAAACATCACCAGAACAACTGAACGCCCCCCCCCCCACCCTGTGTGTGTCCTCCCCCCAATCACCGCAGCAGAAACACTGCTGGGACTAAAGGCACAGAGATGGCGCTAAAGGAAAGAGTTAGACCAGCAGGCAGCAGCAGGAGAAAACCATTTGCTTGCAAACACATCTTACCTTTCATGAGTAAAGGAAGGATGACTCAGATTCAGGAACCCAAGAGAGACGTGGAGAACATTCCAGAAACGATCAGCATCTACCTGACTGCATTTCAGAGCTGCCGTGGACCAGCGCCTCTTGGGTCAGTTCAGTCGCTCAGTCATGTCCGACTCTTTGCGGCCCCATGAACCGCAGCACACCAGGCCTCCCTGTCCATCACCAACTCCCAGAGTCCATCCAAACCCATGTCCATTGAGTCAGTGATGCCATCGAACCATCTCATCCTCTGTTGTCCCCTTCTCCTCCTGCCCTCAATCTTTCCCAGCATCAGGGTCTTTTCCAATGAGTCAGCTCTTCACATTAGGTGGCCAAAGTATTGGAGCTTCAGCTTTAGCATCAGTCCTTCCAATGAACACCCAAGACTGATCTCCTTTAGGATGGACTGGTTGGATCTCCTTGGAGTCCAAAGGACTCTCAAGAGTATTCTCCAACACCACAGTTCAAAAGCATCAATTTTTCGGTGCTCAGCTTCACAGTCCAACTCTCACATCCATACATGACCACTGGAAAAACCATAGCCTTGACTAGACAGAACTTTGTTGACAAAGTACTGTCTCTGCTTTTCAATATGCTGTCTAGGTTGGTCATAACTTTCCTTCCAAGAGGTAAGCGTCTTTTAATTTCATGGCTGTAGTCACCATCTGCAGTGATTTTGGAGCCCAGAAAAATAAAGTCTGACACTGTTTCCACTGTGCCTCCACAGCGCCTCCTGTGTGCCCCCAATTTCCTTCTTTTTTGAGCAGGAGCATCTACAGCGATGGTCCTGCGCTCATCCCACCTGCCGTGTGCAGGGCCGGGAGATATGTCTTCCTAGTTTCATCTACAGATGAAGATGAACTGCATTTGAATGCACCTGGAGGCCTGTTCACACCCAGATCTGATTCAGAGGGTGAGATTGTGAACTTCGGGCTGATGTAAAAATGGAATTGGACTTTGAGGGTCTTGGGGGAAAGATGAGTGTATTTTGCACCTGAAAGGGATGTGAATCTTTGAAGGCCAGAAGGCAAACTGTGGTGGGCAACCTCTAAAATGACCCCAATGCTCCCCCATTTCCGGCAGCCACACCCTTGCCTGTTGCTCACAGCTTTTCCACAAAGTGTGGGCTGCACCTAATGACTTGATTCTAAAGCATATAAGACAGCAAAGTGATGGGATGTCACGGCAACGTCTGGTTATGCAAAGGTGCTGGGTTTCATATTCCGCATGGCCTCCCAAGCTGAGGAGGCCAGCTGAGGCTGGCAGCTGGTCTTTCGCTAGCCCACCTGGCTCCTCCAACCAGCAGCCCAGAGGGGCCGAATCCACCAAGGACCACGTGAGGGTGTGGAAGGGCTCCATCCCCGCGGACCTCGAGAGGAGTCAGGCCCTTAACGACAGCCTGTGAGAGACCCTGAGCGGGAACCCAGCTGGACCACACCAGGATCCCGAACCACAGAAAGTGTGAGATAATAAATGTCTATGGTGTCATCTGCTGTGTTCTGGGAGTCTGTCTATTATAAGCAGTTAATACAGAGCAGTGCAGTAAATTGTAGAAATGCTAGAAAGCACAGACCCAGGAGAAATGTCTCTTGGGAACACAGGCGGCCTGGGACAGAGGCTGAACGTACTTGCTGCCATGACCACCTTTTGGATGGTGCCAGGCACAGAGCAGGTAATGAGCGAAGGAGCTGACTCGACACTGGCGGAGTGAGGGCATCTTGGCGGGGAGGAGGGTGGAGCACAGCCGAGTACGGAGGCAGAACGGAACTGAGGGGATCAGGAAGGACGTAGATCCACAGTGTGGCCTCAGAAATTCAGCTGTGATTTCCCAGGCATAATAATAAACTTGTTCCCAGAATGCCTCTGGCATTAACCCCAGGAGTCACGTAGCTGGAGAGAGTGCCTACTGGTGTGGTGGGGTCCCCCTGTCTCTGTGCAACGCTGCTGAGAAGGTCAGCTTTGAAGAGGGGCGGCCCTGAGTTCAAACCTCTCATACTTACTAGCTGTGTGGCCTTGGGATAGTTCCCTAACCTCTCTGAGCCTCAGTTCTTCATTTGGTTGTTGTAAAGATTGCAGGAGATGATGACAAAAAAGGGTAGCTTAATACATGGTCATTCAAATCCAGTTGAATCCAGTTTAAAAATCATACTTAGCTCTATCTTAGCTTCCCTGGTGATTCAGCTGGTAATGAATCCGCCTGCAATGTGGGAGTCCTGGGTTCAATCCCTGAGTTGAAAAGATCCCCTGGAGAAGGGAATGGCTACCTGCTCCAGTTTTCTGGAGAATTCCATGGTCCATGAGGTCACAAAGAGTCGGATGCGACTGAGCGACTTTCACTTTAGCTCTATCATACTCTATCATCCCCAACCTCCAAGATATGCGATGATGATGTTGAGACAGCCTCACCCTCGTTCCCACTGGCCCTTCCTTGGGCCCATCAGCCTCCCGAGAACCTAGGAGGAAGCTGCCTGGTGCAAACTGGGCGAAGTTTCTGAGGAAGCAGGGGGAAGGCTCCAGGCAGATTCCTCTGGGGGTCCTAGGCCTCCTTGCTGGGAGGGAGGAGAGGGTTTCCCAGCTGTCCTGGGGAGGCTGATCATGACCTTTAGCCCACGCCCCGCACACAGGCTCTGGCCATCCTCCACTCGCTTGGACCATCGGCGCACCCAAGAGGGGACCACCAGCCGGAGGAAGCCAGACAGCACAGAGACAGATGCAAGGCACCCAGAAGATGACTCCTGGCAAGCACAGAGCCTCAGGCTTCCACGTGAAAAAATCATTTGGAGGGGGAGGAATTAACTGCCCTGAACTGAGAAATCGAGGATGAGATAAGGGCAGGAATCAAACTCTTAGACCCCAGGCCTTTCCAAATTCTACCTGCAGAAGCGAAGTTGGAGATTCTCACGGTACAACAGCGTCACCTGGTGGGGAAATCTGAGATGGCACTTAGAAGGTTTCCAGGAAGCTCCTGCCTTTGCTTTGAGGACAGAAACGAGCTCCCCAGGTCCATGTTCCCTCCAGAAAACTGGAGTATAATGTCTGCTTTCCACTCTCAAAGATTAAAGCAGCTGTGTCTTAAAACCTTGTGTGAGTAAGGTTATGGGATATTCCAACTCAGGGTCCAAATGGCTTCTTGTTCAGTCTCAAGTCAAGCCCGACTCTTTGGAATCCCATGGACTGCAGCATGTCAGCCTCCCCTGTCCTCCACTATCTCCCAGAGTTTGCCAAGATTCATTTTCATCGAGTCAGTGATGCCATCTAACCATCCCATCTTCCGCCGCCCCGTTCTCCTTCTGCCCTCCATCTTTCCCAGTAGCAAAGTCTTCCAGTGAGCCGGCTCTTCGCATCAGGTGGCCAAAGTACTGGAGCTTCAGCTTCAGCTTCAGCATCCTTCCAAATGGCTGCTTCCGTCTAATTAACAACAGTCACTTCCTATTATCCCAGGCAGGGGACTGGGGCTCACCTAATTTAGTGCTCAAAAACGGCCTTGCAGGGTCGCCCAGGTGTTTCCTAGTTTTGACAAGCACAGATGTAGACCTGGAGAGGGGCTAGGGACTCACCCAAGGTCAGTGTCAGGATTCTAAGGCTTCTTCTGCTCCAAGTTGCATGGGAAACAAATGATGGTTTCAGCTTCGAGTTTCCCAAATACACGATGGGTTCTCTTTGGTTTCCAAAATTCCTACATTTCTTTCCCCAACTGAAGACTGACTTTCTATTAATCAACTCCAGATACCGCTGTGTTTCTAGGAAAGTATAAATCACCTCTCTGAGAGAGTGTGTTGATCGCACGTGATTTGCACCGGAGCTGGGTTGAGCGCTGGGGGAGAGTCAGCAGCAGGAGCCTCACGCTCTGGGCCAGTGGTTAGCACAGTCCCCAGGGCGCAGGGTCACCCGCATCACTCTGGTGACTCCCATGCAAGGCCACACTGAGCCTCTCAGCTGGGAGATCAAGGGGAACCTAGGGTTCACTACCACATACATGTTGTGGCTGTGAGTCCTGGGTTAGGCTTGGGGGTGTGCCGGGACTTGGGGAGCCCTGAGCAAGCCAGTGGAGGAGGAAATGGCAACTCACTCCAGTATCCTTGCCTGGAGAATCCCATGGACAGAGGAGCCTGGTGGGCTATAGTCCATGGGGTTGCAAAGGGTCGGACGTGGCTGAAACGACCGAGCGCACAGACACACATGAGCAAGCTGGAGGCAAGAGATAAGAAGGATCAGAGACAGAAATGCCCAAGGGAGATACCGTCTTGATTCAGCCTCTGGAGATGCTCAAGACGGAGCCTGATTAAGCCCATGAAGCTTGGCACCTCTTTGCTGGAATGAAGGCCGCTGCCCACCTACTCGGCCCTGTTACACAAAGCTGCTCACCAGCTCAGTAATTTGGTGGGAAGTCTTTGTTGAGGGGGATGCTAAGACCACATCCAGGCTCCACGGGAAAGAAGACTGCGCTTGATTAGCAATGGCTGCAGCAGGGGCAGGACCCAGAGCTGTCTGAGAAGGAGTGCAGAGTCCCAGCGAGGTGGGAATGGGTTGGGTCCCAGGTGGTCCTACTGTTGCAGGGAAGAACCAATCCCATCTCCGTGTTGAAACTGCTTCTTTGACTTGGGTCCCGTTGCTTTTGTTATGATCACACATGACAGGCCTGCCTCAGAGAACCCTGCCCCTCTGCCTGACTGTGAAGCTAAAGAACCTTTTTCAGGACTCTGTCCACCTGTAGATGGCAGGCAGGAATAAATTAACATATCCCCTGCCCTGAGGCTTGCCATTCTAGGAGATGTTTGCAAGATGAGTGGCCTTTGTACTTGGCTTCTCACCTCCCACCCTCTCTGTTTTATAAAAGAACCTGACATCCAGACCCCATTAGATGGTCATTTTGAGACATCAGTCTGCCACCTTCTCCATCAGCTGGCTTTCCAAATAAAGTTCATTTCTTGCCTCAACACCTCATCTCTCAGATTTATTGGCCTGCTACGAACAGAGCAAGCTTGGACCCGTGGTAACACTGCAGCCCAGGGAGTGTGAAGAGGACCAAAGTCATCAGCGCAAACAAGGAGGAAGGCGTGCAGGACAGAAGGCAGGTGTCCGGGCAGGAGTGCTGGTCCCTGCTTCGGAGGGCACCTGGGAGGTGACTCCATGGGCGACCTGTCCTGGGCTCTCTGAAGACAAGGGCCATTCTGGCTGTGCCCCGTACTGCCGTCTGGGTGCAACAGGGAGCAGATCCCCACGGGTGGGGAGATGAGAGCAACATCCTCACCCTCTTGGCCTTGAGAAAGGTCCTCTTCACCAAATTTCCCCCAGAGCGGAAAGCCCTTGCTGCGAGGAGATGGCAATGTGGAAGGAAATAGAGAGGATTGATGGGCAAAGAGGAAGGGTGAGCCAGGCAAGGTACTGGTCTCAGCAGATAAGTGAAGGGAGCATGAGCACACAGTCAGCACTCAGGCAACATAAATCTACAGAGAACCCACTACATCAGACACACCCACAGAGGCACTGCCCCCGGAGTCCATGGAATGAAAATAAAACCAGAAAACACACAGCAAAATGAACTGCTCTACATTCCATCTCATGTTGCAGCCAAGACACACATCTTCACCCAGGAAATAAACAGTGAATGTGAGAAGGGGCTTTCATTGATGACGTTTTCCTGTGAGGCCACCTAGTTCCCCATCTATCATGGCTCTGGCTTACCCTTGTCCCTCTGATATTCTTCCCTCCTTTATTTATAATGCCTTTGCTTCCACTGCCACCAATTTTTTACCACTCTTCTTTATTCCTGCAAACTTTCCCTAACATTCATCTGCCCTTAGCTCCAGGGTCTTTCAGAAGTTTTGCAAAAATGTTCTCTTTTATTATTCACCTGTGAACACAAGTATTAGTCAAAAGGAGGAGAAAAGAGACAAAAAAGAGAGACATGTCCTATTTTTTAAAGTTTAGATTGTTAAAGC